TTAATTGATGAAGTATAAAACCACAGGAAAACTGTTCAAATATGCCAGAAATGGAATTTATAGTCATCATATTACTCATCACCTTAGAAATTCTTAGAAACATTTTATTTGAATGAAGCACATGGTATTCTATATATTGAGAAGCAAATTTTGCTAATGGAAGAATAATCTCAAATTAAAAGAGTCTCACCTCTTCGTTCATTTACATTTGCCTTAAATTTGAGGCATTTAAAAACTTCATTATCTTTTTAAAAATTACTCCCTTTTGTTCTTCCATGATTAGGACGCGTGATTCCAGAAAATTGATCAACTTAACTTGTATTCCAACATCAGAAGAAGAAATAAAAATCACTTCATTCATTTCTATCTTGAAAAGATGTGAATAAGACCCAATCAGCTGCATAGAATTAAGCGACTTGGCTTTAGAGCCAGTGTCTAGTCTGAACCAGCAGAGTGTGTGATTTTAGGCATATTCCATTACTGTTCTGAGACTTGATTTCTCCTCGCTTGTCAGCCCACCTCGTTTGGCTGGCTGCTCTAATTAGACATAATGGAAATCATGTATGTAAAGTGTTTAAACTGGCACAAGATAAATTCTCCATCCATGTTAGCGTGAATGAGAGACAACTGACACTAGCCATCAGCAATAACATGGCATGTATAATCCCTATTCTTCTATTTTATATACATTATATTATTATAATACATAATATAATGTTAACTTATATTGTTTACTATTATATAACAATAGTATAATACAATAATATAACAATGTACTATAAACATGTTATAATATTTCTCTGAATTCCCAAACAGCATCACCGTTGCCACCCATGAATGATGACATAAGTCTATTTCTGCCTCACAAAAGCAATTTGAGATAATACCTGCTGACCTCTTCTAAAAGCCTTAAAACCATTCTAAAACTCCAACTAGATTTTACTTTTTCATTCTCTAACAGTTATTTATTGAGACCCTGCTCTGTGTTGGTCACTGCACTAGGTACTGAAGGGGGATATTTTAAAATTACCCTCTGGCTTTGTAAAGTTTTTGGAGTAAATCTGTTATCAGTCGGGGTCCCATCAGGAAACAGATTGCACCCCAAAAGGGAGTGAAAGAGAACTTATTTAATAGAGGTGCTGTTTACAGAAGGTGTGGGCAGGGTTGAGGATAAGCACAAAGGGATGATGAAGCACCATGAGGCTAGCACCAGTGGAAAGCTGCTACCAGCCTTATGCCTGGAGCGCCAAGTGGAGACAGTAGTTAATGGAACCCTGGGAAGCCTTTCACCTCACCAGAGGGGTGTCTACCAGAGATGTGACCTAGTAGAGGGCTTTAGCCACTATTACACCCTGGCCAGCAGAGAGGGACCTCTCTTTCCTTTCACCCTCCAATCTCCTGCTGCACTTCCCAGGAGCCAGAGGGCTGGTGAGCCCATAGACTCAGTCCCTGAGGACCAGTCTCCCAGGGCAAAGTCAGGATGGAGAAGGTGGCAGAGCGGATCTCGAGGGACAAACGTAGACTATCTAGAAAACAATCTCTCCTTGTCTCTTTTATCTTGTTTTATATAACAGATGTTGGGTTTTATTTCTAAATGTAAAAGTAAGATATTTTTAATGTAGAACACTTGGAAAACTGCCTTGTAACTTTGAGATCTTGCTTTTTCCTAGCCAGGACCTGCTCCCACTTGAAGGCACATGAATTTATCCAGTAAGTTCTCACACTCAAAGTGTCATAAAACATAAGTTTATTTTCATGACTAAGACCTCACAAAAAAACTCTCGCATGCCAAAAAGTCTACAGATGTTACACTGGAAGGTGTTATCTTTCAGCCTGTCATGAATTTCCTTAGCATGGCATCTACCTGCATGTGTCACACCCTTGGTACAGTTAATTCCTTTCCAGGTTTTTGCACACCATATTGTTTTCCATTGTCTCCACTAAACAAATTCTAATTATTATTTAAGGCTAAAATGAAACCATTCCCTGAAACCCCAGGACTTTAACATTGAACTGTATTCTTTGATTTGCTCATTTTACAAATATTTTTGAGAACCTAAGTGCCAAGTGCGTATCAAATATATATAAGTCTTTCCTGCCAGATTAGACCTCAAATTCTTGAGGGCTGGATTTGCATCGAGCTTCCTTTGGATCCTATCATGCCTGGCACAAGTCTAAGAAGATACAGCTAAGGTCTTCCTCTTCATTGCTGCTGGGGAAACTTGATCATTACTCCTTCCTGCTCAAGACAGCTTAGAGATTTCTACTCCAGTTGTGTTGTTTCATCCTATTTTTAAGTGCATTTCTTGCCAAGTGAAATGGATCATTTTTTGGCAGGAAAAGAATACATCACCAAAATTTGGAAAATACGGAAAAGAAAGAAAAACTTCTGATTAGTCTTAATATAATGTTCATTGTTATAATTTTACACAACTTTAATATTTTTCTATGCTCTTATTTTGACAGAATTATGATTATTGGGTGTGTCAAATTCTATATCCTGCATGTGAAACTTACAGCTTGAATCTTGCTTTTTTTTTTAAACTTAGGAGCATAAACTTTTTTTTTTGAGGTTTTGCCTTATAGAAGTATTCAAGATTGAATGTAACAGAGATAAAATATGTCTGTTATGTGTCTACTTTTGTTAGGTTTCAGGCAGCCTTTGCGTGAAAGCCCTAAAATTCTGCCTAGTCCTCTTTGGTCAGTGTTAGAGGAGCTCAGTAATTGTAATCATTCCTTGGCATATGCTGAGGAAATTCTTTTCCTTGGCATGGTGAATCAAACACCTGAAAAGCCTGTGGGGGTCTCTCCGTAGAAAACGTATAAAGGTGAAGTTCCTCCCCGCCCCTACTCTCTTATCTACTGTCAGTTTCACTGCCAACTCCTGCATAATATAGTCAAATTATGTGTTAGAAATTCAACCCTGGTTTCCTGGGTGATGGTACAATGCCACTACTTAGTATTCCTAGTCACATAGCTACAGTTCCATCACGCTCTTAATCTATATATATCTTCATGTTCCAGAAGCAGGCTTTGCAAATCAGGCATGTATTAAGAGTTTCAAACGTACGGAGTGAGAAAATACAGGAGCTTCTCGAGCTCAGCATCGATGCAGGCCATTTTTAATGCCGAGAGCTTGAGAATCCACCATGTGGAGCAACACTTCTTGGGTTCGATGATTTCGATAGTTATGCATCATTTCCAGTTCAATTCTGCAAACTCAGAATTCTTCGTATTCTCTTTTAGATGATCATATGCCTGAACTTTAAACTTGGGCTGGTGTTAATAGCCTGACTTTTTATAAACCTGTGATTTTTTTCTCTGGAGCTGGCACAGGCAGGGTATACCCTTAAATTTTGGCAAATGTGATTGAGGTTCTTTATTTCTGGAGTAGCTTCCGGTGATCTACAAAAACACAGGTGTCATTAACTGCAGTGTCTCTACTTCTGAGTGGCCAAGTTTGTGTGACTTAACCCAGGGAATTGTAGCTCTTTCTCACTATTGCTAAAATTCTCAGTGATAAACACTTGTCTATGTATTTATACATGTAAGAGGTTTAGACTGATGGTAAAATAGAAATTAGGATTTTTTTTGGTCTTGCATATTTTTTGTATTGGTTTATCTTTCTTACTTTTCCTTTTTTTTTTGACAGTAGTATCAATGGGTCATATTCCTTAAATTCTAAATCTGCCA